GGGGACATTTTAGTTTGCTGCCAATGGAAATGATTGTCGCTCTTAGTCTCAGTATCATTTCTCCACTTAACTATCCCTAACGTGTCATTCTGACAAAGAAGTTCCTTTGTTACATTTGATTTACAGTCAAGAATGAGTAAGGCTTGTTCCAAGCAGCACATACACTAATTTGGTCCTCTTTTCTTTCCGCATTAAAATTAGGTCATAGGTCAACAGAAAATCTAATAGATTAGTGTAAGTGAACAAATAATCCTTCAGTTCTGATATCACAAAATAAACCTTTAGTTCTTCCAATATTATATTTGATAAGAAAGTGCGCAATCACTGGTGTCGTCTAGAAATTGATGAAGAGGGATGAAGACCATGAGAGACTAGGATTCAAGTCCTAGCATATGCGAAAAAGCTCAGTCCCATTTGCCCTTCTTTGGTGAATTGAGTTACCCATTCTTATAATGGTGGGAGGATGTCGGTATCCGGCGCCACTAGTATGTTTATATATATCAGAAGGAAGGTGAGTTCGTTAGCCCTTTTAGATGGGTGAACACAAAGATATGGTATTGATTAGGATGGTGTGAGGAAAAAATTCAGAGCCTCGTCACTAAAGAGGTAGTAAATTGCTTGATTGGTTCTTGAAGTAGTGATAATGGTTAGGATTCGGCAATAGAGAATGGACACCTAACAATTCATTTCAGGTGGTGGATAGATATGTAGAAAGTATTAAACTGAAAAAAAGAAAGAAAAGGCTATGGAGTATCTCATATATTGCAACATGAGAAGATTAAGGAATTTGGGTGGTTCTGAACCTTGTCAATGGTGCTGTATTTGCCTACTAGCACTTCTCAAGATGATGTGTATGCAATACTTGAGTTGTATTCTTATGATATTTCATAAATCTTTCATTAATGACGCACTTGAGTATGTCAAAATTAAGGACAAATTAGTGATGCATTTCAATCATTCATTTTTATCCGGCCAACTATCTTTACAATATTGTATTCTTTCTTTGCATCAAAAGTATACATAGAATAAATGATTTTTAATACTTTCTAGATCCGTCTTTTTTACAGATCTATACAACTATCTATACAATATTGGATTCTCTTGTTGCACCAAAAGTCTAAATAGGAAAAACGTAAATTTTATGTCTCGCTGGAGTTGTTTTCTTCAAAGTTTTGATTGACAAGGGGTGGTTATGTCAATTTAGACCTATTTATTTATTGTCAAGAAAGGTTAAAGTCGATGAATCTGTGCCTCCTCTCTCTCTTTCATTCACAACACCCCCCCCCCCCC